AATCAACCTTTAGTCAACCCAATAGACCCAATAAGTCAAAATATCAAATGGCCTGAACGACAACAAAAGGCAAAAATTTCGGGCTTGGCACAGAACGTGTTAAATTACCGGACTTTCCCCCCCCCCGGGGGGGAGGGGAGAATTGCAATTTTGCAAAATGCATGGCAGTTGATCCTGCCAGCCTGGAGAGAACGCGTACGAGCTAAAGTTTCTTACCTCACGACGGTTCAAAATGACCGTCTGAATGCATCCCACGAAGCTGGCGGTCGTTTTCATCTTCGGCGAGTACATGTCGGTGGACGGCGCGCCGCCCAAGTAAAGATTTAGCGGCAACGACAGTTGCGTGAAAGCTCCTGGCGCCAGGATTTCCTGCGGAGGATCATCCTCCACTTCGAGCGAGGCCAAGCGTCCGGTTCTTGACACTCGCACCTCCACCCATTCGCCCAGGCGAACCGGGTTCTCGCTCCTGCAATCGCCAGGCCATTAAATCTTCGTTGCTGCGATTTACCGGACGCCGTCAAGGAATTGGAATTTCTCGAATTTTCGTTCGTTAGATTCATTGTTGATGCATCGAAGGAAGGACAGTTTGAACGAGGATTGACATTTCCTTCGAGTGATTTTCAGAAAATCTCGAAAGCATACAATGATACAAAATTTGGTAAAATGGTAAAGGATCGTGGTTAAGAACGAAGAACAGTATGATCGACAGATCGATACCTGTCGTTTATTTATTTATTTATTCCTTTCAATAATTAAAATTATCGAAGCATGCATAGGTGATTTTACGTAGGTAAAGAGGATTTAAATTACTTTCGAATGTTAGAAATTTACTGTCCGAAAAGTTTGAAAAAGTGTAAAAATTTCGTAGAATAAATGTCGTGGTCAGGATTTGACGACGCATCTTTCTATACCAGCGCAAAAATCTTCCCCCTCCCCTCCCCCCCACGTATCGCCGATTAAAAATCTGTCAATAGAGCGAGAGGAGGGATTTTCAGCTTCCCTGCTTGCAGTCGAAGGAAAAACCGAACTTTCCCCGGTCGTCGTAATGGAACGTCGACTATGCGTAGACTATGGGAGAGTCGCTTTGGAGGAGGAAAACCAGTCAGAATGGAGAGTGAGTCCGGTCAAACGTCGTGAATGCGAATGAAGTTTGCTCACGGATAATATTTCACTGCTCCAAGTGAGTATACCGAGAATCAGAGTGGGAAAAGTCTCCTATATTGAACGACCCTGACGGGCAAATGCGAGGGAAACGCTTTCGAGGAGAATGTTGCGTGACGATTCTTAATAGCCGAAAAAATCGTGTATTTACTGGTGGATGTCGAGAGTTGTGTAGATTTCACTGAAGTTAGGCTTTTTTTTAGGTAGAATTTATTGTTATCGCATTACTGACGTTTATATACTGGATATTATATATATATATATATATA